TCCCTCTTAGGACTGCTTTTGCTGTGTCCCATAGATTTTGGGTTGTGTTCTCTTTTTATTTGTTTCAAGGTACACTTTGATTTCTTCCTTGATCTCACTGTTAACCCATTCACTGTTTAGTAGCATGTTATTTAGCCTCCACATCTTTGTTTTTCTTGTGATTGATGTCTATTATTATGTTTCATATCATTATGGTCAGAGAAGTTGCTTGATATCATTTCAATCTGAAATTTACTGAGACTTGTTTTGTGTCCTAATATGTGGTCTATCCTAGAAAATGTTCCATGTGCACCTGAAAAGAATGTATATTCTGCAACTTTGGGGTGAAACGCTCTGAGGTATCAATTAAACCCATCTGATCTAGCTTGTCATTTAAGGTTGCTGTTTCCTTGTTGATTTTCTGTCTAAGAGACCTATCCATTGATGTCAATGGGGTGTTAAAATCCCCTATTATAACTGTATTACTGTCAATATCTCCCTTTATGTCCTTCAAGATTTGCATTACATTTACATTACATTACATTACATTTACATTTAGGTGCTCCTATAGTGGGTGCATATATGTTTACAAGGGTTATATCCTCTTGTTAGATTGCTCCCTTTATTGTGTAGAGTCCTTCTTTGTCTCTTACTATAGCCTTTGTTTTAAAGTCTACTTTGTCAGATATAAGTATTGCTGCCTCAACTTCCTCCCTGCCTTTCTATTTGCATGGAGTATCTTTTCCCACCCCCTTAAGTCTATGTGTATCTTTCATTTTGAGTTGAGTCTCTTGTAGATAGCATTATATATGGGTCTTGTTTTTTCATCCATTCAGCTACCCTATGTCTTTTGTATGCAGCATTTAAGCCACTGACATTTAAAGTGCTTATCAGTAGATACATATATATTGCCATTTTATTATTTAAACCATGTTCCTCTGTTTTGTCTCCTTCTTCTTCTTAAAACAGGCCCTTTACTCTTGTAATACTGGTTTGGTGGTGATGTACTCCTTTAGCTTTTTCTTGTCTGGGAAGTTCTTGATTTCTCCTTCAATTTTAAATAATAGCCTTGATGAGTAGAGTAGTCTCTGTTGTAGTTCCTTGCTTTTCATCACTTTCAATATTTCATTCCAATCCCTTCTGGCCTGAAATGTTTCTGTTGAGAAATCAGTTGACAGTCTTATAGGAGCTCCCTTGTAAGTAACTAACTACACTTCTCTTGAGGCTTTTAAGATTTTGTCTTTAGCCCTGGCCGGTTTGGCTCAGCAGTTAGAGCGTCAGCCTGCAGTCCAGAGAGATCCGGGTTCGGTTCCCGCTAAGGGCACGTACCTCGGTTGCAGTTTGTCCCCGGCCCTGGTTGGTCATGCAGGTGGCAGCCACTCGATGTGTCCCTTTAGCAGCGATGTTTCTCTTTCTCACTCTCTTCCTCTCTCTCTCTCCTACTCTATCTGAACAAAAAAATGGAAAAAAAAAAAAAAAAAAAAGTCCTCTGGTGAGGATAAAAAAAAAAAAAAAAAGATTTTATCTTTAACTTTTAGCATTTTAACTATGATGTGTCTTGGTGTGGAACTCTTTGGGCCCATCATGTTTGGGACTCTGCATGACCTGCACTTGTGTGTCTTTTTCCTTTACCAGGTTAGAAAAGTTTTCTGTCATTATTTCTTTTTTTTTTTTTATCCTCACCTGAGGACACCTTCTCATTTTGTTGTTCAGATAGAGTGGAAGGGAGGGAGGGAGGGAGGGAAGAAGAGAGAGAGAGAGAGAGAGAGAGAGAGAGAGAGAGAGAGAGACATCAACGTGAAAGGAACACATAGAGTGGCTGCCATCAGCACAACCCAACCAGGGCCGGGGACAAACTGCAACCGAGGTACATGCCTTTAGTGGGAACCAAACCCGGGTCTCTCAGGACTGCCAGCCAACGTTCTAACCGCTGAGCCAAAATGGCCAGGGCTTGTCTTTATTTCTTCAAATAGGTTCTCAATCCCCTGCTGGCTCTCTTCTCCTTCTGGTACACCTATGATGTGGATGTTGCTATGCCTTATGTTATCCCAAAGGTCCCTTAAACTATCCTCACTTTTTAAATTATGTTTTTCTTTTTGCTGCTCTAATTGGGTGTTTTTTCTACCTCATCTTCCAAATCACTGATCTGAACCTCTGCTTCTCCACCCTACTGTTTATTCTTTCCAGTGTATTCTTCATTTCAGATATTGTATTCTTCATTTCTGTCTGGTTCTTTTTTATGGTTTCTATGTCCTTTCTTGTACTATTGCACATTCTTTTTGTTGGTTTGTTTTGTACATGCCCCTAGCGGGAACCGAACCCAGGACTCTCTGGTCCACAGGCCGACACTCCAACCACTGAGCCAAACCAGTCAGGGCATATGTTGCACATCCTTATAACCATTCCTTTGAACTCCATATATGATCAATCGCTTGCCTCCATTTCATGTAGGTCTTTTTCTGGAGATTTCTCCTGTTCTTTCATTTGGGGCTTCTTTGTCTCCCCATTTTGGCTACTTCTTTGTGTCTATTTCAATTAGCTAGATCTATTAGGACTCCCAGTCTTTGTGGGGTGGCCTTATGTAGTAGGTGTCCTGTGGGGTCCAGTGATACAGTCTCCTTGACCACCTGAGCTGTGTGCTCCAGGAATGCCCCTTGTGTAGGTTATGTGGGCCCTTTTGTTTTAATTGTCTTGGTTGTTATTGGCCCATTCATGCATGGGATCAACCCTCAGGCTGGCTGACTGTAAGGCCAAACTCTGACTACACGGTGCAAGCTACTGTGCAGGTGCTGATCACACAAAGCAGAATTTGAATTTGCCTCAGCAGGGTTTGGTGCCTGCCAAGATCTCCCTTTGGATATGCTGCCTGTGAAGCTTATTGGATCTTACTCTCATGTTTTCTGATACTTGCCACTGGGTGTTGGTTCTAGGCTCCGTGGGAGGGACTCTGATACAGGCTTCCATCAGACGTACCTGTGATTGGGCATCCTGTTTGGAGCTAAAAGGGATCCATAGTTTGTGGCTGCCTGTGTTGGGCCTTGGTGCATGCAAGAAGGACCGAGCTGTGCACCAAGGCCACCTATTACCAGCACTGGCACCAGGGGCAGGTTACCAAAAGTCCCAAGGCAACCCAAGATCCGCCTTTGCCTGCCTTTGCCTGCCAGCTGCCAGTTAAGCTCAGTCACTGAAAGAGCTTCTGGATATATTCCTCAGCAGGGCATAAGCTCCACAGGGTGAGGTGAGAGGGAGTCCACAGGGTAGGCTATTACTTTCCCCTATGCTGATGCCACACAGTGGGGAGTGCTCCACCAAAGGAAGATAGCATCTGTGCTGTGGGAGATGGACTCAGCACAGTTGTCCCTTTAGCTCTTTCCCCAGAGCCACAAAACCCAGTCTCTCCTTATGTACCTCTAGTCCACTCCACCCTCCCTGCCCTGGAACCCAGGGTTAATGGTTGCAAAATTTTGTGCACTGGCCCTTTAAGAAGGTGCCTGTGTCTATTTCTGGTGGACAGAAACCCCATTGCTTTTCACAGCCAGATGTTATGTGGGTGCCTCTTCCCAGCTCTGGTGCTCTGGGCTGGGGATCCTGGCAGGGGTTTTAAACCCCATGCATCTCAGGAAGAACCCTGCTGTAACTGATATATTCCTCCAGAACCTCAGCCACCGCCCAAGGGAGCAGGGCCAGCCCTTTTCGTATCTCTGCTTTTCCTGCCAGTCTCAATGTGGCTTCTTCTATAAATCCTTGGTTGGGAGACTTCTCTTCAGCTAGTCTTCAGTTGGTTATTCAGGATGATTCTTCTATATTTTAGTTATAATTCCAGTTTGGTCCTGGGAGGTGAGTGTAGCTTCTACATACTTTGTCATGATCTTGGATGTCTCAAAAGTTTACTTCTTTATGTAGCTCACATGCCAATCAATACTTCGTCAAAGAAATTACTTAAAACAGGTTTCAATGAAATTCCACAATGACTAACAGGATGATAAGTTTTTAAAACAGAAATTAAATCATGTGTTTTGAGAAAGATTTTCATTTTCCTAGAACTGATTCATATTAACATAAAAGCCTTAGAAAGGATTTAATATAAAACTGCCTTATTCCAAAGAAAGAATTTGAGGCAGCAAGAGAAACTAAGAAGAATTACATTGCAGCTTTAAGGCAGTTATGGCAGACAACACTCACTGGTGTAGCAGACGCTGCAGCTTTCATGGCTGCACCAGACCATACTGCTACTCAAAAAGAAAAGGGCAACACCTCACCAATTAAAGTTTGAGACCCCATGATTAACTAACTTACCTATATATCTTCAAAATCCTTTCATTCAATCCACCTTTCATGTGACATTCTGACAGAATCATTTACTGACCCCTTCATAAGTTATCTAACTACACAGAGGTTAAAAAAAAAATTATAGTCATTATGACACACACCTTTATTTTTTCTCCAAAAGTTAACAAGCTAATTTAAATTCTTCCAAAAAACTATACTTAAATGATAGAAAATACAATAAGACATTATCACAACTGCTGCAAATCCCCGATAAGACTAAAATTTTAGCCAATCCTACCCACCCTCCTATGTCACTCCAGCTGAACAACTCCCTCAGGTCACTCTGCTGAGTCTACCCAAAACACCTTACCCTTCAGCACCTGGGATGGCCTTGCCAGGATTCGAACCTGGATCATCTGTATGGTCAGACAGAGGCTTCCAATGAGCACAAGACCAGCTGCAGGTGCATATCCCTTCCTCATGTGAAAATTCCAAAATGCCAGGCATTTTCAGAGAACCCACTTGGTGGAAAGACAGGTTTTACTAGACACTATAAATAACATGAACATAAGGATCATGTTTCACAGCTAAAAGATACTCCCACATACACCATCTCCTGTGATCATAATCACCTTGAAAGTAGCCAGGTAATAATTGCCCTAATTTCCTAGAGGTGAAGTTACTGCACAGGTGTCACAAGTACTAGACTGCTCAAATTAATAAGGAAAACCAGGGACGTTTCAAGACTTTACCTTGGCATTTTTCTGCATTGGGAAAAACTCTGGACCTCTTTTGAGGCAAATTTATTCGAGGATCTCCAACTGTCAGTCCCAGAATAGTACCTGCTGGAATTTCTGCTGGTGATGTTATTCCTTTAACAGCAAACAAACAAAAATATCCAAGTTTAATGAGAGTCATTCACAATGTATACATATTTGCTTGTATTTTCCATTTTTTCTAATGAAATTTTTATCTTGGGCTATTTATTTAAAGACACGTATTTTGCCCTGGCCACTTTGGCTCAGCGGTTAGAGCGTCGGCCTGCAGTCCAGGGAGACCCGGGTTCGGTTTCCACTAAGGGAGCGAACCTCGGTTGCAGTTTGTCCCCAGCCCTGGTTGGGTTGTGCAGGTGGCAACCACTCGATGTGTCCCTTTCACGTTGATGTTTCTCTCTCTCTCTCCCTTCCACTCTATCTGAACAAAAAATGGAAAAATGTCCTCGGGTGAGGATAAAAAATAAAGATACGTATTTCATTTATTTCCCACTGAGACTTTGAGAGAATAAATTAACATTCACAAAGAGTAAAGTTTCTTACAGAAAAACATTAATTTAACATTACAGATTATTTTACAACAGGGATGGGGAACCTTTTTTCTGTCAAGGGCCATTTGGATATTCATAACATCATTCGAAGGCCATATAAAATTATCAACTTAAAAATTAGCCTGTTATATTTGGTGAGGCGTGTGATGTTAGCTGGTACTGATTTTGCGGGCCTTATGCGGCCTACAGGGCGGACGTTCCCCGCCCATTTTACAACATGAACTTATACATTTCTATCATTGATAGCTACAGTAGCTTTACACAAAAGCACTCATGTCTAGTTAAGAATAAATTTCAGTGGAGTACCTGGTATATGCATTTATTTATATCAGAATGCCAGTTATTTAGAATACCAACATTTCATTTGTTTATTGTTTCATAAGCAAACTCAAATAGTGTTTACACTATTCACTCTCTGACTTTCTTCCTTGCCATATGATAACAAAGAGTTACAGGTTAAACAGCACTGTAGACATAGGTAGTCGAACTACAAAACATTCTTTTCACCCACTTCCCACAGCACCCTCCTTTCTCAGTACAACCCAGCATCCCCACCACTTACCTCCCAACAATTCAAAAATGGATTTTTGTTTGTGGTGAAGAGAAACGCTATCAGGGTTCTTACAGGCTTCAATCCACCAGTGGTGAGGTGTCTTCTCTGTGTCCTCTCCCTCCTGAAAAATAACAACTCCTGTTTACCAGACAAATAATGAGTCAGACTTAATAATTTTGTTATGGTTGTGATACTGCCCCCGCCTTTTCTGTATGTGGGAATGAACGTTTTAAGGGACGAACCAAGGTAACTGTCACTATTTTTCACACAGTAATTAATACCAGACTATTCTTCTAATTAGAGGCAAAGACAGAGTACTACATTTCTCTCAAGATTTCACATACGGCTCCAGCCAGTATAGTTCAGTGGTTAGAGCACTGGCCTATGCACCAGAGAGTCACGGGTTCAATTCCCAGTCAAGGGCACATACCTGGGTTGCAGGTTCGACCTCATGCCCCAGTGGGGGCCCGTGTGGGAGGCAACCAATCAATGTGCCTTTCATATCAATGTCTCTCTTTCTCTCCCTCCCTCCCTCTTTCCCTTCCATCTTCTCTTAAAAAAAAATCTGCCCATTCAGTGTGGCTCAGTTGTTCAGCATCATTCAATGAACTGAGAGGTCCCGGTTCAATTTCCGGTCAGGGCACATGCCCGGGTTGTGAGCTCGATCCCCAGTGGGGGACATGCAGGAGGCAGCCAATCAATGTTTCTCTCTCACATTGATGTTTCTCTCTCTCCCTTCCTCTCTCTCTAAAAAAAATCAATAAAAACATAAGTTTTAAAAAAAATCAATGGGGCCCTGGCCGGTTTGGCTCAGCGGTTGGAGCGTCGGCCTGCAGTCCAGAGAGACCTGGGTTCGGTTCCTGCTAAGGGCACGTACCTCAGTTGCAGTGTCCCTGGCCCTGGTTGGGATGTGCGGGTGATGGCCACTCGATGTGTACCTTTCACGTCGATGTTTCTCTCTCTCTCCCTCCCTCCCACTCTATCTGAACAAAAAAAATGGAAAAATGTTCTCGGATGAGGATAAAAAAAATCAATGGGGCCCTGGCCGTTACGGCTTAACGGTTAGAGCATCAGCCCACGGCCAGAGAGTGCCAGGTTTGGTTCCCGCTAAGGGCAAGTACTTTGGTTGTAGTTTGTCCCTGGCCCAGTTGGGGTCGTGTGGGTGGCAACCACTTGATGTGTCTCTCTCACATCAATGTTTCTCTCTCTCTCCTGCTCTATCTGAAGAGAAAAGCAAAAATGTCCTCGGGTGAGTATAAAAAAATAATTTAAAAAAAATTAAAAATCAATGGGGAGCCCTGGCTGGTTTGGCTCAGCGGTTAGAGCGTCGGCCTGCGGAACGGAGAGACCCGGGTTCGGTTCCTGCTAAGGGCACATACCTCGGTTGCAGTTTGTCCCCGGCCCTGGTTGGGTCGTGTGGGTAGCCGCCACTCGATGTGTCCCTTTCACATCGATGTTTCTCTCTCTCTCTCTCTCTTCCTCTCTCTCCCTCCCACTCTATCTGAATAAAAAATGGAAAAAATGTCCTCGGGTGAGGATAAAAAAAAAAAAAAAAATCAATGGGGAAAAAATATATCCTCTGATGAGGATTAACAACAACAACAAAAAATGATTTCACATACTAAGAAAACACCCATGATATTCAGAGAGACTTAAGCTACTTCACACTGAGATCTCTGTGCACGGCGCCCAAGAGCACCTTGCTCCTCTCCCTCTATTGCCAACTTCATCACCACCAATTTAAGTAATAAAACCTTCCTCACCAAGGGAAAACCAAACCAATACCTTTTGAAGAAATCTTCAGCAAAAGGCTATATTATGACTATAGTACTTCTAGAAATTTCAAATAAGATACACAAGTATTTTACTTATATTTTTCCTGACAGAACCAAGAACTGAGCAAGGTTTCAAAAAGTACTTTAAGTATCATATGCATGCCAAGGAAGAGTGTCTACAGCCAAGATTCATACCGAACTGAAGTTCATTAAAATAAGAGGCACTCCTAGATTCTAAAGCAATCTGTAACATGTGCCATTTGTCTCACAAATACTCAGGCAGCATACCTTAGTGGTTTCAAGTACAGGCTCTGGAAACAAACTTCCTAGGTTCAAATCCTTGCTCTGCAACTTATTTAGATGGAGTCGAGCACCTGGTCTGTGCCAGGCAATGTGCTAAGCACTGGGGACAGAGTAAAGAACAGAACTGACCCTGTCCTTGCCATCATGAAGCTCACCATCTAATGAGACACACAACACTGTATAAATACACAAACAGATACAGACATACAAACTAAGGAAATGTGCAAGATGCCACATAATTTACAGGAGAGATAGAATTTACCATGAGTGATCATGAAAGGATTTTGTAGGAAAATGAGACAGATGTTGAAACCTGAAGTTTTAGCCAAGCACAAAGTAGTAGAGGCAGAATAATCAAGTGAGGGGAAAAAAGCAGGTGCAAAGGCTCTAAGAGAGATGACATCTCAAACTGAAAGTAGGCCAGTGTGGCCAAGTGCAGAGATGAGGCAGAAAGGCACGGATTACACAGACACGTTAGGGGCTTTGGAATTTATCTCAAACACAATTTAAAAGCTTTTAATCACAAAGTAACACCATGTGAATAAATTAACAAAAGAGTACTCTGCCTCCTGCACAGAGAATGGGATGAAAAGGGGGAACAAAGGGGAAAGTTCAGATTCTGCCTCAGCCTTCAGGCAAGAGACCAGGGAAAAGAAGAAGTGGTTGAGGCTAATGTGGAAGCAATGGAGAGAGAGAGATGCTGCCTTTGTGTTAAAATATTTTTCTTCTAAAAGCTCAAAAGCTGTTCAGATCTATCATCGTATTTGACCATGTCAAGTCTGTGAGAGGCACAGGCCCTGAAAGGCTCATTGCACTAATACAGCAAAATGAACTGAATGTGAATCCAGGCTGTCTCACTGCCAATCTAGTCTCTATCTCTAGACCTATGCTGTCAACATGGTAGCCACTTGCCACAGAGTTATTCGAATTTAATTTTTAGTTAATCAAAATTAAATGAAGGTACAAATTCAGTTCCTTAGTCCCACTAGCCACATTTCAAGTGTTCAATTGCTATATGTGGCTAGTGGCTACCATACTGAATAGCACAAAGGAACAGCGCCCTCACAGAAAGGTTTACTAGACAGTACTGCACTGGACACATTGCTAACCCTTTAGGGAATCACAGAACCTTAAAATTCACCCCAGAAAATATGCATCACACAAGTATAAACAGAAAAACTGCTATACACCTTCAGGGATTTTAAGGGCTCTATTACCTGTTTATGGAGCAGAAGGTAAGACCCTTCTACAAACTCAAGGGCTGCAAGAACAACTTGTACTTAAATAGGAACAAGTCAGTTTACTTATTACATTCATTTAGATTTGCTCATCTAAGAGAAGAAATGACAACATCCTTAATAATAAGCATAAATAGAGAAATAAACATGTATAGGCCATGGCCCAAAATGTAACCAAATTATATGTTAAGTTTCACAAGTTTAGGAAATGCATGACTAGGATAAATCATTACAGTCACATGTAATCTTACGGCGTGGACAGAAGCAGCTTTTAGTGCCTCAGTTAGGATGGAGTGGGAGAGTGGACCAATCAGGCGGAATCTGTTTATCTCCATCGTCAAATCACTGAAAGAGAGAAAAAGTCTTAAAATGGAAACGTCCATGATATATGATATCTATACCACTGGCAAAACAGAGGAAGCCTTCAAAAAAAATGTTCTGAGAAAATTCAACCTGTACCTGATTATAATGTCAGTGGTTGAAGAGATCCAAGAACATGGTTGATGTGAATCTCTAGTTCCATCTCCAATAAATTTTTTAATTGGTTTAGCATTTTCTCCATCGTCTCTCCATTTTCTTTTCTTGTCAATTTTCTCATCAGGCAGTTTAGTTTGGCTTTTTTCTTGGGATGGTGTCATAAGGGGGTCAGGGATGCAGATAGTTGATTTGACGGGTTCTATACACTGGCACATTACTTTTATTTCCTCTAAAATATCCTAAGGATATATTAAAATATTTTACTTTTAAAGTCTGAAATGTAAACGCATTACAAATTTAATGTGGTTTTAGTTTGTTATTTTTTTTCTCTCCCTTTAAAAATTTACATTTTTATTCTTTCACAAATTAAACTAAATTCATCATCATCAAAATGTTTTTTGGTTCTTCTGAGTAGTGCATGGCACTTGGAACAAAAAAGGAACTCCTCAATATCAAAGATTAATGAAAACAACAGACTACTCTGACCAAATTTTTAAAAATGAGTTTAAAGAAGACATTTACAGTCTACCATAAGAAAGCAGTAAGAATGCTAAAAAAGACAGAGAGAGAAAAGCAAAGCTAAATGCAGTGTTAAAAATCTTAAGAATTAATCAAAACTTATCATCAAATAGGCTTTAACAAGCACTCGACACCAAAGGACCAATTCAGGCATAGTGGAAGCATTCATCCAAAGGCCACATTTCAAGCTATTTATATAATAAGGTTGGTTTTCATACCTACATGTGGCCTACCAAAGAGAGAGAAGTCAAGTTTGCTTTATTTAATATTCATGCAACTTTCCTCCCTATATTCAAATACCAAGTAACCAACCAAACTTTTACACCATTTAAATCTCTATGGTATTAAGCTCTGGCCGGTTTGGCTAGCGGTTAGAGCATCGGCCAGTGGATCAGAGAGTCATGGGTTCGATTTCCAGTCAAGGGCACATAACTCACTTGCAGGTTTGATCCCTGGCCCTGGTTGGGGTAGTGCAGGAAGCAACCAATCTATGTGTCTCTCACATCGATGTCTCTCTCTCTCTCTCTCTCTCTCTCTCTTCCCCTCTCCCTCCTTCCCTCCCTCCCACTCTATCTAAAAATCAATGGAAAAATATCCTCGGACGAGGATTAAAAAAAATGTCTATGGTACTGATTTCCAACAGTCATCAAGAATGCAGTAACAAGTGATGGGGAAATAAACTCAAGGATTATACCTGTTTAAGAGCTGGGTGAAGCCAGATCCACAACTGCCTGCTCTCAGAAGTGTCACCAGGGGTCCTCTCAGGCTTCCAAATAAATGTAACAGGCCCCAGCATGTCTTGGGGATATTTATTCGCGCGGTAAAGCATGAGACTACCTTGGCGCTTTCCAGACAAGCAGTGAACTGCTGCAAAAGTCAATCCTGACGTAAACAAAAACAACATGCCATGATTTCGAGTACTGAGACTGCAGTAGTATTTCCTGACAGCCATACAGTTGTTTATTATCTCTCTCCATTAGGGATGAAGTCTAGGTTTTGGTCACTGCTTAAATCAAAGTGACACTCAGTACATTCTCAATAAATACTGAATGAATGGTTTAATGAGTTTTGAGTTTCTTCCTGCCTAAATTCACTCCACCAACATAGCATAATGGTTCTCTCACTTTACACTTGACAATGTTAGAAATGATTTAAAAGCCACTTCAAATTTTCCTTTTATTATCATACTCATTGGACACAAAAACTGTCTCCTGCATTTTTTTTCCTGCATTTTTATATATGTTTAAATTCCTAAATGCTTACAGCTGACACTTCTTCATGAAATGAATAAATAATCAAATATGAAAACAGGACTCATATTTGAAACCAGTTTACCTGTGTCTGTGCTACACATTGGAGAAAGTGCCTTTAGTATTTCTTCCTCTTTGCCCTTCAACTCCAAACAACAGTAGTAGGATAAATCCTGCACAAAGAGAGACATCATCAAACACTTAGCAATTTACATGGAGGAAATTGCAAAAGCCAAAAGTCACATCAGAAAAACTTCCAGCCCTGGCCAGTTTGGCTCAGCAGTTAGAGCGTCGACCTGCAGTCCAGAGAGACCCAGGTTCAGTTCCCGCTAAGGGCACGTACCTCGGTACCAGTTTGTCCCCGGCCCTGGTTGGGTCGTGCGGGTGGCAACCACTCGATGTGTCCCTTTCACGTCGATGTTTCTCTCTCTCTCTCTCTCCCCCTCCCACTCTATCTGCACAGAAAGTGGAAAAATATCCTCGGGTGAGGATAAAAAAAAAAGAAAGAAAAACTTCAGAGTCCAAGACACAGAACAAATTGCTAAAGCTATCATTTCATAAGTCAAAATCTGAACCTTGTCTATTTCTACTAGCAAATATTCTTATTCAAATTTGAATCCAAATAAAAATAAATTTCGATTTAAATATGTTACAGTGTCCTATTTTTTATAAAGAAAATCTGTATTTTATCCCATACTCAAAGACAAGCTCTAAATAGAATGTAAAAACTGCTGCCTCTAAGAAAAGAATTATTCTTCCCTGAAATCCACCTAAGGTAAGAAATGATGCAAATAATTTGTACATTACTTCTCCCATGCTCAGTCTTTACAATAATATTCAACTTTGACTAAGCACTGTACAAGAAAACAATGAGAGTAAGACCTTACCAATTAAATAAGATAAAGACAGATCAAATGAGCTAGTAAAATCAGTATGTTCCAGAACTCTAAGTTTCTAGTCAATGAAGAGTTACCAACTGCTAAGGGCTGGGCTAATTTCTTACATGGACTGTCATTTAATCTTCCCAACACCTGGTGAACCAGGTACTATTTGTTATCTTATTTATTTCACAGATGAGGACACTAAGACAGAGACTGTTATTAAACAAAGCCATATAACCAGAAAGTGGAGAAGCCAACATTCCAGACAGGCTCACTGACCCCCAAGCCAACCCCTCTCCATGGCACCTTTAAGTAATTTCAGTGCACTCAGTGACTAGAACTAAACGGCAAAGTATAGCTAAGGTCCTGACAAACTCACATTAATCAATGCTATCATTCACACACAGAACTCTTCCCAGGAACAGGGATCCACTCTCTGTTGTCAGTGGCCAGATGAAACTCGCTCGAATTTTTATAACTGGTGACATCAGAGAATTATGCTTAATAGCCTAGAACTCTGGAGTCAGACTACCTAAGCTCAAATCTCAACTTCACCACTCACTGGCTGTGTGGCTGTGGGTAAATTACCCTATTTCTCTGTACCTCAGTTTCCTCATCTGTAAAATGGAAATAATGATAACTACTTACCTTGTAGTGTTGTTATAAGAATTAAATGAGTAAACATATATAAAGCACTAAAATAGGGCCTGGCATAAAATAAGTATTCAAAATTATTTGTTATTATCAACTATTATTTTTATTACTTAGGACTGATTTAATGTTAAGAAAATATCTGATAACCTCAGTAAAAATCTTGCCCAGAATAATAGTAGTCAAATGTGTGTCTTAAGATTTGAGAGAGAGCAGAACACAGTATGAAAAAAAGCACAGGCCAGAGGAATTAGATGCCCAAGTGTTACCTAGGCCACCACTTGGCCCTGGACAAGTCATTTCATCTCTCTGGATCCCAGTTCCCTCAACATAAAAAGAATTTTACTATAATCTATTATTTCTGCTGTTGAGTATTCAAGTCAAAACATCTTGCCCTGGCCGGTTTGGCTCAGGGGTTAGAACATCAGCCCTCACTTGTCATGTGGAATTCACTTCAATTCTTCCCTGCTATCTGGCTTCCTTCTGCCTCCCCCACTCTCCCATTTTCTTATTCCTGTAATAAGAATGCTCATAGTATTGTATATATCCCTTACAGTTGTATATTTGGCTATTAATGTCAGTCTCCACTAATACTTTTAGGCTGCTTCATCTCCAGTATCTGGCAAAGTGTCTCAAACTCAGTAATTATTTTTTAAATAAGTAATCTCAGAGATAGGGCTTTGGCATACCATGAACTATTCTAAAAGTCTCTACCAGAAACGGTCTGAAAATAAAAGAAAACCAATTGGAAAGCATACCTGAAGGAGGCAACAGTTTGTCATAGCTCGATAGCAGGCTCTGTGGCTCTTGGCTGTTGGCCTCTCCCCAAGGCAGTAGCCCCACTTCTTGACCATGTGGAACCGTTTGGCATGCCAGATGTGAGTTTCTAACCATATGTTCTTCTTTTGTCTACGGTTAAACTCTAGCATGCGGTTTATGTGACATCTTCGAGCTTTATGGCATTTATTCTTTGAATGTTCTTTTTTCTGATGCACTGCTTTCTCTGCCTATAGTTTCAAGAAGAGAAGCAGAACCAGTTTTCAAACATTTCAAAACAAAGTTATTAGGAATTCAAACATTAACTTTAGATTAACTGGAGCACATTACAGATCCCATTTGTTTGCTTAATTTTTTAACTTGGTGATTTCTCCAATGAAAGTAGAGAGGGGACAACAGAAGGAGTAAAGATTTTAGAGGTAGGCAAACCTAAGATAGAAGCATGTCCTATCACTTATTAATTGGCAAGCTTCATGGACTATGAAGATTGGAATATTAATTTTTTTATTGTGAATCCTCACCTGAGGATATTTCTCCATTGACTTTTTTAGATAAAGTGGGAGGAAGAGAGGGAGAGAGAAACACCAATGTGAGAGACACATGGATTGGTTGCTTCCCACATGACCCCAACCAGGGCTGGGGATCAAACCTACAACCCAGGTATATGCCGCTGTCATATCCAACTATCTGCTAATTTGGTGGATGATGGGGTGGGATGGGAATAAATGATTAAAATAAAGCATGCAAAATGAGCATGCTGTTCTTGGTTTCCATTGTAACAATTTTATTAGGTTAACACTTCCCATTTTCTTTTAGGAACTACTAACCTCATCATTTATACCAAGTAAAACTTATACCTCTTTCTGAGCAATCTCCTGCAACCGCCTCGGAAGGCGTTTGACATTGTGGCTCATGGCTCGTCGTCGCATGTGCCGAGGCAGAGTCTGGAAAACCAGTGAATTCGAAGACTTCTGAGTCACTGCTTTCAACATAGCACTGATTTCAGCAGCTCGGGCCTGAGCAAAAGTAGATGCTATCGAAGGAAAGAGCACTGTCATTAAAAACTAGTCTTGCATCAACACTTTTCTGGTACATCTCAGAAGGAAAAAATATTTGAAGTACATGACCTTACAATTCACCCACTACCCTAACCCCCTATTAGATTAATAACGATAGTGGTTATTTCTGTATTATAAGATTATAAAACTTGTCCGGCCAATGTGGCTCAGTGGTTGAGTGTCGACCCATGCACCAAGAGGTTGCCAGTCTGATTCCTGGTCAGGGCACATGCGCAGGTTGTGGGCCAAATCCCCAGTGGGGGGCCTGCAGGAGATAGCCAATCAATGTTTTCTCTCATCAATGTTTCTCTCTCTCTCCCTCTTCCTCTCTCTCTCTCTCAAATCAATAAAGGAAAAAAATTGTTTTTTAAAGATTATAAAACTATTGTTCAACTTTCATTTTTTCAAGTTTTCTACAAGGATTCAGTGTCACTTTTCTAATAAAAAAAAAGTTTAAAGATAAGATTACAAAAAAAATTTTTAAAACAGAGAGCTACATGCAATAAAATAACCATTTTTAAGTACAATAATCACACAAGACAACAAAAGAAGTTCAATCCCAGCTTTCAGCACAAAACAAATAAACAAACAACAAAGAAAAAACAAAATTTTAACAATGGTTTTGACTCCAAGGGTTTTTTTTCTTAATATTTTCTTCTTTTTCCAAATATGTGACCATACAGTTAATAGTTTTCTTTACTGAAAAATACTCTTTATTTTGCAGAGTAAATAGAGTGCTAGGGAAATTTCAGCGAATTCCCCCGAGAAGGTATAAAGAGACCGGAAGCACCCACCCCGAAGGTGTGCAGAAGGAATGTGGGGTTATGCGGTAGTGGGGATAAGAGTGGTGCGGGTGATGGGAGATGAAAGTGGAAAAGACCTGGAAACAGGTACTTAAAGGGCTTGACTCCCTTTAGAGTGCAGTAAATTTGGTTTCATTTTTGGAGAATGCCATGCTGAAGAGTGTAAACGGCATTTTATATTTTTAAAAGGGGGTTGGGAGAAGATTGTATGAAGTGAACAGTTCACAAATAAGGACATGTAAGAAGAGAGGTAAGAAAAAGGAGAGCAATTGAAGAAGGGAGAGCAATCAGGCCCAAGTTCAAACGCTGCAGGTGAGAAGGGCCTAGGGCAAAAGGAGGAGAGAGACTGGGGGGGCAGGGAGGGCCAAGAAACACAGAGGGCATTAGACATCTGGCTGCATTAGAAACAAAGAGCTCAGAGTACAATCAAACCTCACCTCTTTACCAATACCTACCTGTTATATACTTAGGAATCTCCTGAGACGTGCCCTCAGAACCTGCTTTCCATCCTCCCTTTTTTTTAAACATTACTTTAGAGGAAGACTGCTCATTCACATCAGGCTCAGATGGTGAATAGTGGGTCATTTTGGTTTGCCGCTGTCGGGAAATTCCAGAAGAAGGATCTAGTATATTAAAAAAGAGAGAGAGAGAGAAATATGTCACTCTTATCAGGAATAAGGATTACAGTGGAGAACATCTGTTAAATGGCAACACTGATATTGTTTTCAATCCTATAAACACCCTGTAAGGTGGCTATTACTATCCTTTTTGTAAAGAGGAGGGATCTTGGGTAGGGAGGTGAATCAACTTGCCCAAGGTGACAGGGCTAATAAGCAGCATGCTAGCTAATCATATCAGTGTGACACATAAAAGAACCTTGGATATAACTGATATAAGAGAACTTTCCTCCATATAAATAGTGCAACATGGATTTTAAATCTAAGCTCTCTTAAGTACTACGGTCCTCAAGACTTTGTATATTCAGTCTTTTATAGTAATTCTCTGGCACGCTCAAGTTGGAAGCCTATGCTAAATTTAAAAAATAAATAAAAGCAAAATCTCTACAGATGTCTGGACATTCAAACCATTATGATTTCAAGACAACATCAAATCCTTGCCTGTGAATAGAGAGATCAGTAGAGAATTTTATGGATTCCTGCTTACTTACATTATGGTGTTGATTACTAAGCCTCTACAAACATGAAGCATGTTATAAGACAGATCACTGCAAGGTTAAAGTGAGATAATGTGTTGGTTTATCACATGTCATGGTAGGCATCAACTGCTGGATCTGAATCAAGAGCTTCCGAATATGAATCTAAAACATACTTAATCAGACACAATACACACTATTCTTTAAAGTGTTCCCAAAAAGCTCTTGGTCACCTGCTTACTGTCTTCCCACACTGGCATTTTCTGTTGCTGCCCAATGAACAATATCACCTTCATATCAGCTTATGAGGTTCTAAAATCAGCAAATTAAATGAAGATAAGATGACTGCAGTGTATTTCTTTTAGGAAATACAGAAGTATAATTTAATAATAAATGATGTCAAAGGAGACATAAAATGTCAACTCTAAAATAAGTACAGCCAATTCCATTTATTCCCAGTAGTTATGTTCTAAAAAGTCATAATACAGAACCAGTTTCTAGGGGACTACATATATCACATAGACTATACTCTTTTTTTCTTTTTCTTTTTTTTTCTTTTTGTTACAGATGGTTCTCCTTTTTCACCCCATTGACACCCTCCTCCCATTCCCCCTTCCCCGTCCCCAGCTTTGTTGTCCAGACTATACTCTTAAATCATAAAAATAACTCATCCCGGTAGATTCGATTTTCTTAATGTTACAAAAGAAACACTGAGGTTCAGAAGCGTTACGTGACCTGTCTGAGGTCACCCCACAGTTGGAAATCAAACCCCAGTTAGAGCTGGAGCTTCTTGCACTATGCTGCACTGCCCACCCACTGTCTCCATCCTTCAGCCATCTCTGCAAGAAAGCTGAAACAAGAAGGCAGCTGGGGATGTCCACATGGGGCAAGCTGAAATTTTTCCCACTCTACACACATCCATGAATGACCATCAAAGTGTCATGAGTATTAATTTTAGGGTTACAAATAAACTTTTGCAACTAGGTAAATTTGCAAATACAAAATTTGCAAATAATAAAGGTTATCTGTATCTGTTTTAAAATCAACTCATTTACTGCCCTGGCCGGTTTGGCTCAGCGGTTGGAGTGTCGGCCTGCGGTACAGAGAGACCCGGGTTCGGTTCCCGCTAAGGGCACGTACCTCGGTTGCAGTTTGTCCCCGGCCCTGGTTGGTCGTGCGGGTGGCAGCCACTCGATGTGTCCCTTTCACATCGATGTTTCTCTCTCTCTCTCTTCCTCTCTCTCCCTCCCGCTCTATCTGAACAAAAAAAAAAAAAATGGAAAAATGTCCTCAGGTGAGGATAAAAAAAAATAAAATAAAATAAAATAAACTCATTTACTATTTAGATGACAACTATCAAAAGGTGCTGATGAAAGCAATTTGCTCCAAATGGGAATGGAGAGAGCACTGTGTGTATCTTACCTAGTCTTTGCGCTCGGAAAGGTTTTCCACCTCCATTATGGTGCTTTACACCTTTATCAGCCACAAAGCCGGAGAATAAAGTCACATTGGTGGGCTGGTTTCTCATTTTCTTAGCATGTTTTCTTTCCTTTGCATTAGACATTTCTGGAAAGAAAGTAATAAATTTAGTACGGGGAAAGGGAATGCTCATTCAAAAATAAAAATAGCCCTGGCCGATTTGGCTCAGCGGTTAGAGCATTGGCCTGCGGTCCAGAGAGACCTGGATTCGGTTCCCACTAAGGGCATGTACCTCAGTTGCAGGTTGCAGTTTGTCCCCGGCCCTGGCCGGTTGGGGTTGTGTGGGTGGCAGCCAGTCGATGTATCTCTTTCACATCGACGTTTCTCTCTCTCTCTCTCCCTCTCGTTCTATCTGAAGATAAATGCAAAAAGTGTCCTTGGGTTAGGATAAAACAAACAAACAAAAATAAAAATAAATATAATAAATATTCATGTGACTCAATATATAATAAATCTTTATTATAGGTGGATTAATGATATAAAAATATTACAATAAGCCCTGGCCGGTTTGGCTCAGGGGTTAGAGCGCCAGCCCGCCAACCAGAGAGTCCCGGCTTCAGTTCCCGCTAAGGGCACGTAACTCGGTTGCAGTTTGACCCCGGCCCCAGTTGGGATTGTGCAGGTGGCAACCACTCAATGTGTCTGTCTCATATCGATGTTTCTCTCTCTTCTTCCCTCTCTCCCTCCTGCTCTATCTGAAGAAAGATGCAAAAATGTCCTCAGGTGAGGATTTAAAAGATATATATATATAACAATGATATTGATTTACAGCAGAAATTCATAACCAGGGCATGCAATCTCTAGGGGAGCCATGAATGGTATTAACACTAAAAACCTAAATCAAAAAAAAAAAATTCTATTGTTGGAAGAGACTATATTAGTACATCCCAGTTTGCACTTTCAGTAATTAAATCATAAACCAATGCTGACACTGCAAAGAGTCTGTTGAAATAATGAAAAAGGAGGTGCCCTGGCTGGTTTTGCTCAGTGGTTAGAGCGTCAGTCAGCGGTCCAGAGAGACCCAGGTTTGGTTTCCGCTAAGGACACGAACCTCAGTTGCAGTTTGACCCCGGCCCTAGTTGGTCGTGGGGATGGCAGCCACTCGATGTGTCTCTCACGTCGATGTCTCTCTCTCTCGCTCCCTCCCACTCTAACTGTACAAAAAATGGAAAAATGTCCTCGGGTGAGGATAAAAAAAAAAAAAGAAAGAAAAATGAGGTAAGAGATAATATCCCTATGCCATGAAAAAATTACTTTAGCGAAAACATGTAGTCAAAATTCTTAGGTGAGCCCTGGCCAGTGTGCCTTAGTTGGCTGGGCACTGTCCCATGCACCAATAGATTGCCAGTTAGATTCCTAGTCAGGGCACATGCCTGGGTTTCAGGCTTGATCCCTGGTGGGGGGCATGAAGGAGGAAGCTGATGAATCTTTTGCTCTCACAGCAATGTTTCTCTCTCTCTCCCTTCCTCCCTCTCTAAAAATCAATAAAAATAAATATCAATTTTAAAAATCTTTAAAATAAAAAAATTCTTAGGTAAACATGAGCCACCTGAATCAATGAAATATAAAACACACTATTCTGATATGATAATCTCTACAAAAACTGAACATAAATTATTGAAGTTTTCATTTCTACTACGGAGACTAAGGCCAGCTGCACCTTTAATTTGTAACAGCAAAAAGATTTCAACTTGAAGGAAGAAGAATAAAGGACAAAAAACCTGGTGGAGGGAGCCCTGAAGAATTTATTCAGTAATTCTCAATTCTCAAACCTGACATCCCCCTGTTTTCTCAAGTTTCGAACACCCGTTTTCTATTTTGAACTGAAATTCACTAAAAACATAACCTACCAGACACATAACTTTTACCAACACATGCCCTACCATTATGTGCCCTAACTGTAAAGAAAAAAATAATTTTAATATGTATTTCAATATTTCACACCTGTATTAGGTGACATTATGAAAAAATTCTGAAAGTTCTTGAGCCAGAAGTAGAAAAACCAAAACCTTAGCAGTATGTAGGACAAAAACGAGGGGGAATAAACAGGACTTTCTTATTTTACATTTTAGAAGCAGGGTAGGAACGGGATCTTGTCTTTTTCACTACTGCATCTCCAGCGCCTAGCAGAGTGCCTTGCACAGAGGAGGGGCTCAATATCAACGAGTTGAATGAACAGGAGCACACATAAATGAAGGAGTGGAGCGTCCTGTAATGCATTATAAACAGAATGAAAAATATGTAGCCAACCAAGCACCACCCCCTCTGACACAGCATGACTGAATATCTGCCAAGAGACCAGCCCTGAGGCCATTTGCTGGATCCAGATCACTACCTTTCTTTTTGAAATCAGATGCCAGTCACTAGGGCTCAACTCAGATCAAAGGGGAACGCCTAGAAGAGACCTCTAAGAGCTGGAGGAGCACTCCGGAGACGGAAACATGGGAGGGGCTGGAGGGTGGAAAACGCCCAGATGTCAGCGTGGTCCCAGAACGTCCCATCTTATTGCTTTTAGGGCAGCGATTTTCAAGAATTTTTAAAACATGTAGTACCTGACTATTTAGTCCGGGGCACTGACCTCTTTTCCCTTACTTAGACTGTCAAATAAAAAAATGACAACAGCCAACACAATAGCTATTCCATATGAATGAATCAAAATTATACCTTTTTTTGGTCAGATCAGCAAAAAATATATATTTTTGGTGTGCCACAGAATTTTAGTAGTTTGTGTGTGCCATGAGATGAAAATGGTTGAAAATGGCTGCTTTGGGGTGTAAGGAGAAGGGGTACAAGCCCGTTCACAGAACGGCCTCTGCCGTTTTGTGTGGCAGAACACAAAATGACAGGCTCAGGGAGCTCGAGAGCAGGGGCCCAAGGAGGTGCGGAGGGCAGGAGAGGCCCAGGCGCCCGCATCAAGGTAAGAGGAGGAAAGAGGAGGTCGGCTGGGTCTGAGGAGAGGAGATGGGGGTGCGGCGCAGTGCGCGGGTGCCAGGCGAGGCCCGCCCACCCACACTCCGTCTCCCCACTCGTGAACACCACCAGCCCCTCACGACCCACCTGCCTGACGCTCTGCGGGAGAAAGGTAGGGCTTCCCGGGTCAGAATGACAAGGCTCTGCCACAGTTCCTTCCCAAACGACGTGTGCTGCGAGCGAGCTGGAGGGCGCATGCGCCAGTGCCGCTGCTGCCTCCACGTGGCCCGGAGCCGCGCGGAGACTACAACTCCCAGAATGCCGAGCGAATCCGCCCCGCCCACGCTTTTCTGTAGTTATTGCCTTGGGGCTGGTTAGTCCGGTGAGACGCGGACGGTGCTAGTGTACGGGATTGTTCTCTCCGAGGGGCCTGAAGAGGAAAGCGTTAGCCATGGCGTCCTTAATCAGAAAGGTGATCAGCACCACGAAAGCCCCAGGAGCCATCGGTCCTTACAGGTAACTCGACAAGTGGACCGCGGAAGGACCCCAGGCGTGCGTGGTCGGGGCCACAGGGCTGACCATCCGGAATCAGAGCTGGGGTGGGCCTCGGGTTCACCCACAACCTCGTCAAACACGGGAGGGAACCTAACCCGGGAAAGGGGGCGACGCACCCGGAGACCCACAGTGACTTGAGAGCACCATAGGACGGGGAGCCTACGCTCCCGGGAACTTTGTCCAGACCTGGGGTGCCTCCAGCTAGAAAGTTCCTCGGGTTAGAAGTGGCCTGTGTTTGAAATTTTTTTCTTCCTTTTTATTTTTTGTAACAGAGTTATGGAGCTATAATTCAAATACACCCCAAATGCAGTCCTTTATACAATTAAGTGATTTTTACTAGACTCACAAAGCAGTGTAGCCATCGCCACCTTGTAATCTCAGAAAATTTTGGCCCCGGGAAGATACCCAGTACCCATAAGCAGTCCTCCCGAATCACCTCTTCCCCCAGGCCCTGGCAACCACTAACCTACGTGCATCTCTGGAGAGTTGCCTGTTCTGAACATTTCCTATAGTAAATGGAGCCCTACAATATGGGGTCCTTGGTAACTGACGTCTGTCACTTAGCACAAGGGTTTTCAACCTTTTTCACCTCATGCTACATAGAAACTAATTACTAAAATTCTGCGGCACACCAAAAATTATAATTTTTTTGCCTGTCTGACAAAAAAAAAATAGGTATGGTTTTGATTCATTAACACTGGATGGCTATTATTGTGTTAAATGTTGTCTTTTTATTTATTTATTTATTTATTTTGACAATCTAAGGGAAGAGGTCAGTGCCCCTGACTAAATAGTTCTAAAAATTATTGCACACACTGATTGAAAATCGCTGACTTAGTGTAACGTTTGGCTAACCCACTCTTAAAGTATAGATCCCTTCCATAGATGCTTAGCAGATCCCTGCACATCTACCCAAGACACTAATTTTTTCAGCACTATGAATTCATTTGCTCATGTTTATTTCCTGCTAATAAAGTCAAATACAAATCATAGTGAAGATCATTTCTAACATTGCCCCACATGCTTTAGCTAAATATACATATGCTAGACAGAAAGTCTGTCCTGTGTTTTTTATTTTCACTTGTCAGAGCACTGCTAAGTAGAAAAGTTCATTTCTTTTTAAAAAGACTTTATTTTCTTAAAATGTCTAACCTTTAAACTATTGGCTCTTATATGCATTCTTCTAGGCTTTTGTTTTCCTAATATAATTTTTGTTATTTTTAATTCTTGAAGTATATTCTATAAACAGTTTTGTTTTTTTTTAAATAGTCTGTAGTGTCTTTTCACTGTTAAAAGAACTACAGCTTGAAACTTCTACAGCTGGAACATTTGAACTATGACAGACATGTATTGAGTACCTACCATCTGCCAAGCACTCTAAGGGATACAAAAATGTATGAGAATCAAAAAACATTTTAATTTAGTGCCTGCTGTATGGCAGGCACCATGACAACCACCTTCTTCCCTAAGTCCCAGCCCCATTTTACAAAAAGAAAACTGAGGCTCAGAGTGAACTTGTACAATATCAGTCTGTAAGTGAAAGGGACAGCTTGTTTTGAACAGGTCCTAGCTCCCTCTTCTATATACCACACAGTCATGAAAAATATCACTGCCCGACCGGTGTGGCTCAGTGGTTGAGCATCAACCCATGCACCAAGAGGTTGCTGGTTCAATTCCTAGTCAGGGCACATGCCCAGGTTGTGGGCCTGATCCCCAGTAGGGGGCATGCAGGAGGCAGCCAGACCATGTTCTCTCTCCTCGATGTTTCTGACTCTCTCTCCCTCTTCCTCTCTTTCTAAAAATGAATAAAGCAAAAAAAAATTTTTTTAAATAGCACTTATGTGTAGCAGAACAGTAATTGTCATAGTGGGGTTAGAAATAAAATGCAAAGAGAATGAGGGGGTACAGAAAGTAGGGCATGGGGTGGCAAAAGAGGAAAAGAAAGAAATTGATGCTAACTTTTAGGAAGAAAAAGATTTAGGAAGGTTCCTCATGAGAGATAGTCCTTGAATTGGGTTTTGAAGATTGGGTTTGCCATTTACAATACTGTTGTCAAGTTTGATTTTTAAATTATAGTTGACCCTTGAACAACATGGGTTGAACTGCGTGGGTCCACTTATACATGGCTTTTTTTCAATACTGTAAATGTATTTTCCTAATAACGTTCTTTTCTCTAGCTTTATTGTAATAATACAGTATATAGTACATATACAAAATATGTGCCAATCATCTGTGTTATCAGTAAGGCTTCTTTTGGTCAACAGTAGGCTATTAGTTAATTTTTCAGAAAGTCAAAAGTTATGTGTGATTTTCTGCTGTTGTGGGGGTGGGTTCTCCTATCTTTCACATTGTTCAAGGGTCAAATGAACTTTGTTAAGGACTTCAGCAGGAAGTCATGGGGTGAAGGGCATTCCAGTAGAGGGAATGACTTCAGGCATAGAGGTAGAATATACAGCATAAAGATTTTCTGATCTTCTCTCTCTCTCTCTTTTTTTTTGGGGGGGTGGGGGAGGCAACCAAATTTTTGGTAGCCTAGTTTCGACAAGGCTGGAAAAGAAAAAAGATTTTCTGGAGGATATTTTAGTAATCCAAGTATCCAACTACCACTTTTACTCTTCGTTTTGTTTGGGTTTTTGTTGTTGTTGTTGCCAAATCTGTATATCACCTATATTATACTTAACACTTTACTTTAAGATGGCTTACTTTATTTAATAAATTTAAAAAGGAAACTTGACAACAGTACTCTAAATAGGAAACAACCCAGTAGAAGGTAACAGTAAAAAATAAACTCAAATAAATAAACAATTGTTATTAAATTCCAGCTAGATCCTGCAAATGGCTCAGAACCCAAGGCCTGCTCTCTGTTTGCTAAAAGTGATAGGTTTCTTTAACTTTTCTAAAAATGATATTTTTTTCTCCATGTAATCAGAGGATTGAAGTTCTAATTGCTAACACTTATTGATGCTTTCCCAGCACTGAGCACTGTTTTAATGCTTTACAGTTACTTTACAGACCCCATTTTTCGGATGGAGAAAGACTTGAAAAGGAATAATTTCCTTACTGTGATTCAGTGTTTGTGTATGACCTACAGTTTAGGAAACAGTGGTTAGGAGATGGACTTTGAATTTGAATTTTTGTTTTGCTTCTGGATAAAAATTAGCTTTTAACAAAATCTGGATTGTGATGGTTTTCAATTGTGATGGTTTTCAATGATAAACTAAAGAGTATAAACTTTATTTTGTATGCAGTGAGGAGCCCTTAAATGTTTTTGAGGAGGAAGTGACATGATCAGATCTTTCTCTCTCTCTTTTTTTACTTCTCTGAAGGTGACTGGCCTCAATGGCTAAGTTAGTCATGCTGCTAATTTACCTCCACAGGTGTGTTGAGCACATCAGAAATATATTTTCTCTTGACAGAGATCAGATCTCATTGAAGAAGAGAATTCTGATAGTAATTTAAGAAGACATTAAGAATAGTTAAGAGGGTATTACATTGAAAGTAAAAATCAGTCATCTTCTGCCCTGATCCTTCTCCCTCAATCAGCCAGAGGTTTTACTTCAAAACAAAAATGACCCTTAACAAAAACAAAGTGATTATAGAACCTGGAGCATACACCGTCCTCAAGTATGTACTTTGTTCCAAAAGAGCATGAGAGTAATATCCCTGGTTGACTCAGAGGTGGGGGTCAGCTACCTTTGTAAAGCTGCAAGCACAACAGAAGGGCATCCCTCTATGAAAATGCCAACATGGCAAGAGGAGAGCGATCAACCAGCTTCATTGTGTGGAGACTTTTCAGGACACTGTGCCTCTTGTGCTTTTGTGTATCCAAAGATAGCCCTGGCCGGTTTGGCTCAGCGGTTGGAGCGACGGCCTGCGGTCTGGAGAGACCCGGGTTAGGTTCCCACTAGGGGCACATACCTCGGTTGCAGTTTGTCCCCAGCCCTGGTTGGTCGTGTGGGTGGCAGCCACTCGATGTGTCCCTTCACGTCGATGTTTCTCTCTCTCTCTCTCTTCCTCTCTCTCCCTCCCGCTCTCTCTGAACAAAAAATGAAAAATGTCCTCGGGTGAGGATAAAAAAAAAAAAAAAGATAAACAAGGCCAGTAGAAATGGTACTAACTTTCAATATTTTATGAAGAAAAAAGCATATTCCAACTAACTAGTTAATATCCTGATGAAGTGAATTAGACATGTTTTATAACCATTCGGAAAAGAGTTTTTGTGCATGTGGTTAGTAGTTAGTGCACCTTTTGAAAATTCTGGGTGCTCTCCAGGAGGAATTCAGATGTGTTGAACTCTCAGTCCCTGGCACTGGGAAGGATGGGGTGTTGTCACTAATTAGCTAATCAACTCAGCACATTTCAGGGATAACCCAGAACAGAACCTTGACAGATTTCGACATCACATTGCTGTTGCAGTGCTTTCCATTTTGCTAGCATACCATCCCAATAGTCATAAAATTTTGAAATGATTGCCCAGATAGCATAGATTACGGTGTGAGAATTATTACTGGGATGCTTTTGAAGAGTGTTATTACCCTGTGTCCTGGACGCAGAACAATAAACTTTTAAATTTTCTGGAGCCTAATTACTTGTCTATGAATAGTAGGATTCTTATGCACAGGAAGTGTCAACTATCCATTTATTTTTGTGAACCTCTACTAATAAGATAACTGACAAAGCTCAGATAGACTCAGAAATCCAGGGCTTACTTTTAATTTTTGGAGAATAAATGAGTTCCTTTTTACGGTGAAAAAATTTTTGATCAATGATAATGCAAATGGACTTGAACTATTGTTTCAGATATGGGAAAAGTTAAAGATACTTTTCAAAGGGCCAAAGGTAGCCTAATTCTACACAGAACAGGACAGTGTTAGCTAATAGTACTGTTCAACCTGAGAAAAGCTGACACATTAACAAACTCAATAAATAGTTATCTATTTGTGGGCTAGGGTGAAACCAGA